AGAAGAGATCTTAACAATATAATATTATTCATATAATTTTATTCTACTTTACACTGCTCCTAGTAGTTATAAATGAAACAAGTAATCCTTGAGCCTTCCTAGATAAATTTCTGTTTATAAAAATAAATCTCAACTGGCCTAAATAACTCTCTGTCTATACAGGTTGTCTCCGCCTAACATTATACGTATAAAATCCAAATAAGCCTTATAAGGCTTACTCCTATTCAACTAATGATCCCAATATAACTTAACCATCATAACCTAAAGTCAAAGTCATATTTAAAACTTACATAAACTCTACCAAGATCATGCGTACAAATAATAATCATAATATTATATGACTTATACTCCATTCAGCATGTACCAATAAAAATATATTGCACTAAAAGTTGAAAATAGCATATCTGCTAATAAAAAAATTCAATTAAAAAAAAAAAATATAAGCGTTCAGCAATCATACCACACAGCTGTGTGAAAGAAAAAAAAGTCATCCCACAACTCAACTTAGAGCACTTACCAAAAATCAAACGCATAGGATACTAACCAGCTAACAGTGTCTTCACTCTTCTGGAAACGTTCTTGAACCATACAGTTTGAACCACTATGCGAAACTGCCTATACAAACATAGCCACCTGTTCAGTAACAGCTACATACCTTGTACTATGCAAGTACCTGTGTATTTCTAACCATTCGTATAGTTTGAGGAACACACTACGAGGCATACGAAGTACCTCCTGGAACTGCTACTCTTATATATTTGCAGAAAGAAGCTCTACAACTTATGCTTTACCAGAGAGAGCTAAAGTACAAATTCATTCAACATTAAAACGATAGTCGATATATTCCCCAATATTGCTTAAAGCATAGAGTAAAAAGTGGCTATCAATTCTGAATAAGGTACGACTTTCTGAAACTACAGAGTCCAAGTCTGAGGAGGCTGTATCGTTGGAATTATAGTTGGTATTATGGATTTGACGAGAATTTGTGTAGAATAATTGTAGTTCATTCATCATATAAAAATAAGAAATAATGGGATTCAAGTAGAGATATGCAATAGATTATTATCTATCATACAAGAAGAAACTCTTTGTTTTAGAGTTCAGAGGTTTATACTTTACTTGAGTGCTATTTCATAATTCTACACCTAGCCCTACTATAAAAATATACAATAAAAATTTATAAATATATTAAAAATATATTGTCGTTTTGTAATACATGCCGAACACATCCCTATATAAAAACTTTAATATGCTAAAAAATATGCTATAAAAGTGACATGCTGAATGGAGCCTTAAATAAGTTATTAATTAAAACTATAAAATATAAAATCCTTTTCAAACTACAATCAGTTTGTAACATTACTCTACCTAAAGATCTACATCCTCTTAGATGCCTAATAGGCATATAAGCTGGAGCAGACAGAATTTAAAAAAAAAAAAAGTGGTAAAATATGTAATAAAGTATAAGAAAATAGAATAGTTCACAATCAGAAGAGTGGGATGTACAAAACAAGAAAGGCAAATCAGTTACATCTAAATATCAATACCTTATATATAGATGAGGGTACTCTTCACGCTCCGTCGCTCCTATTTTCCTCCCACATAGTTTGGCAACATCACGTCAACTATCGTGGGCCCCCCCCACTCCCCTCTGCCCCCTCAATGGTTCCCGCCCTCACCTCGCCTGTCTCTTGTCTGCTTGATGGGGGAGTTATCTGAGCTCACCCAGTAGTCCTGTCTTGCTAATAGGGGCTCGCTTAGCGTTGGCACAGTCGGCTTCTTCTCTTCATTTCTGGACGGTGCTAGCAGTAGTGGACATCCTTCTCCCCACTTGCACAATCTCCATTGGGGAACGCCTCGGCTAGTAACTTCGGGGTCTGTCTCGTGGTGAGATATGGCCATACCCTCCTAGTCACTCAGTTCAAGTTACGGTTACCTTCTTCTCCTCGCCCTTCTGCCTCCCTATTGCTGGTGGGATCCCTTCCACTAAGTGATGCTATCTCTCAGAGAACAAGGGACTACATGAGAGACGCGGTAATACAGCAATAGTTTGGTTTCAGTTGGGTCAGCACTGGGACCTTTGACCCTTCCTCCCTTTTTCTCTTCGGTTACATCAGCTGGTACTCAACTACTATTGGCTGGTATCCTACTGCCTCACCCTCTTTTGCTGCCTTGGGCAGACCCCCCCGGCCCTCCCGAACGGACGGCTTGGAGCTTTCATTCCGCCAATACCTCCTGCTTACAGCAGGTGCTCACTCCTTCTGGTTTCTCCCACTCGCGATCGAAGGGCTATATGCCCAAGGCATACGTTTATGCCGTCTAAGTAGATGCACCTATTCGCTATTTCGACTTCCCGAGGTGTGAGTGGATCCGAACTGGTCTGTCTGCGAATTTGGTTGTTGTAGGTAAGGGAATGGTTTCGGCCTTTGGTTTGGGATTTCCTTGATTTGGGATTTCTTCTGTTCGGTAGGGCGTGTACTGTCGGGATGGGGGTTTTCCTTGCTTTGAAGAATGGGTTTCTGGGCTCTCTGTCTTTACTGTTTGTAGATGGCCGTGTGGGAGACTTGCGGGGGAGTTTTTTAAACCGAGGGCTGGTTGGGTGTTGGTGGCTCTAGGCGAGACCCCTCCGCGTTCAAGTCGTGTGCTCTTAGGAGCGGGCACTTGGCTGCTGGCGTGTGCCTTTCTGGGGTCACGGTTTTTCTTCTGACTGCTTGAGAACAAGGCGGGGTGGAGGTGCGGGTCTGCATGGTGAAAGCTGATATGACCCCCGACCTTACTTTTGTTATAACGGATAAATAAATAAGATTACAAAAAAAAAAAAAAACAAGATGAGGGTACTCTTATCCAAGATGCAATTTTTTCTTACTAATATATTATAGTCTTTTCTTAATTTTTATATCATGGCTTCTAAAGAAATAATTTAAAACACTTTTAAGCTTACTCTTTCCTATGACATTTTAGCTATAATATAGAGATAAGTTATGCTTTAATTCTATTGCTGGGAAATGAATTTTGTATTTTAATATAATATTAGTATTATGATATTAGTTACTATCTTTAGTTGAGTTCTGAGATTGGCTGCCATATCCTATTACATCTTAACTTTGTTTACTATATTTAAGTTTAGTTGTATCCTAGTTAATAATTTGTGTTTTAAATATCCTGTACATCAGACTCTCAGAATACACAGGACCTAACTAATAATTTTTACTAATGTAGGAAATTCTGCATGTTTTCATACAAGATTCAATAGTTTAAGTCTACCTAGTATTATAATTAACATAATAGTCCTCACAGACTTATTATAGAAAGTAGACATAGTATTAAATTCAATTCTATATATTTATCTATTAATTATATCTCTTAAAAGTTTCAGTTAACTAAAAAGAGATAGATCATACTCTCTCCTACTACCTGACCCTTTTATAATACTAATGTCCTGTTTGGCATGCCAGAAAAACCGAGTATTTCTCACTTATTCTCAGTTTTTTCTTCTGTATTAAACTAAAAATTTTAAGCGGTATTTGATAAATACAAAAATACTATAGTATTTTAAAACTTTGTTTTTTTATTCTCAGTATTTTTTTACCCTGTAATTCATCAAAAACAATTAGAATAAGAATAACTCTTTCTTTTTTAATATCAAATTATATACTTGTTTAGAAATTAAGTTATACTATTTCATAAGCTGAATTATATAGTATTTTGTTTCCAATAATGTATATAATTCATCCTTACATATATTCAATTAATAGTAAAGTAATAGATGTTTATAAAAAAAAGGTTCTTTTAATAAGTTTTCCTTGAATGTTCAGATTTTCAATAATCTGGCGTACAATTCTACTATTTACAAATATCCTTAAATATATGTTAACAGGAAAGAGATAAACAATCTCAATTCAAGATTAATGGTCTTTACATTTTACAAATAGCAAGTTCCATTGTGGTCATAGTAGGGGAAAGTCTTTTTATACTTTAACTTTCAAGTATAACCTATTCTATCAATGTCTTACTATTGATTATGCTCCAAATGATTATCACTTATTGAAGTAAAAACAAAAATTTTTAAGCTTGCAAAACACCAATATTTCCACAAAAACTCAGTTTTTTTATTCTGTGTCATGCCAAAAAGGGCCTAAAAGTTGCCCTTGTATTTTTGGCTTACTAACACATTTCCTCGCCCAGTTTATTGCCCCGGTAACAGCCAATTCTCCTTCCGACTGTTCTGCTACCCTATCGCCAGCAATATCACGGTTATCACTCGAATTTCCTAATTTGGTTTAGTCAAGAACTAAATGGAACACATACTGATGGAGTTAGCCCCTACTTTTTGTCAAGCCACAATTATTCCACAAGGAAACGCATACCACGCTTAAAAAAGCCACGAGATCGCATCTCCCCGAACACGGTGATCATCTCTTTATCGAAAAGCGCGCGGTGAATATTACTTGCACTACTCGAGTACACAGCTATGCATGAAATGGCCAGATGGAAGCTCCATGCTTGACAGATCTTTCGGAAAGACACCCCGACAGGGAGGTGGAATCCGACGGGGAAGATGTGCTCCAGTACTAGTACAGTACTCGTACAGTATGCAGTTTTCTCAAAAGGGGTCGGAACCCACAGCGCTTGGCTCCTGGTCACGGGCGGCGGGGATTTTTAGCGTCCCACAAAGGGCGGTGGTCGCCGTGCGGCTACCTCCGCCATTGGGAAGGGCAATATCCGGATGTTAGTCTGAACGAGTGCCATTGTGCCATATGATCATAATTACTTGTATTATGATACCACCCCTTTCGGGTTCCCATTCCCACCAACTATTATGTGCCTAGCACACCAGTCTCTACATTCAGAACGGCTATTGGTCGGGAGCTGAGTGAACCATTGCGGCGCGGTCAGTCTTACTCGGGGATGGAGGTTCGTGATGTCAAAGCTCTCTCTACCCTTCCTGGCATCATTCCTACCAAATTAGATAATTTTTTACCTCTGGTGGTATTCAGTGCCCGGACTCAAAAACCCACGGTTTATCCCATCACTAAACCTCCGTACTATACCGGTACAGTACCCCAGCACTGGAATATTATGGTTGCGCCTCTTCCCTTTTTCCCGCTCACCCCGCTGATCCCGGGTCCCGTTTCTTTGCCGCTGGAAACACCCAAGAAGATAACTCAGATAAGGTATAAAGTACCTTGCTGCCCCCCTCCAGCTTAACTCTTCACTGTCAATCTGCAACCTCCGTCTACCTACTCAATACAGTTGCTATCCTTCTCCTTTGCTTCCAGCCATAACTCTCCACTCTATAAAGTCAGAGATTGCATCATAAACATGTCTGAGTTGTCTGCAGCTCGATATGGGAAGGTCCATAGAACGAATTATCCTCTCGCTAGACAAATAGCTGAAAATGGAGACAGGATAACATTCGTCTCTGCAAAGTTCACCGTGATGAAGGTACAAACATTCATACTGTCACTGAAATGACCGTCTGTGTACTTGTGGAGGGAGATATCAACTCCTCGTAAGCCCCCTAACTCCAAGGAAGCTTCGCGTTTACTTACAAAGTTTCTAGGTACACACGCGCAGACAATAGCGTCGTCGTAGCTACAGACTCAATGAAGAACACTGTTTACTGTGAGTCCCCCATTCCGAGCTCACCCTTGGGCTTGCGTCAGCTAACTACCAGATTTCCAGTGCTCGCCAAGCAGTACCCAGTAACTCCACCAGAACTTTTTGGCTCAATTCTTGCCTCCCACTTTATCGAACTATATCCCCATATTCACGTTACCCGTGTAAAGGTTGTCACGCACCGATGGACGCGTATGACAATCGACGGCGAGCCGCACCCGCACTCGTTCCTTCGGGACGGCGCAGAGACTCGCAACGCTGAGGTTGTTTGCAAGCGAGGGACAGGTATTTTCGTGAAGTCAGGGATCCAGGGATTGCTGGTCCTCAAAAGCACCGGTTCGGCTTTCTACGGCTTCATTAAGAACGATTATACCTCTTTGGGTGAAACCTCTGATCGCATTCTCAGCACAGAGGTGGATGCCAATTGGGAATGGGGCTTATTCAACACATTGGGTGACGTAGAGAGAAATATCCCTCTTTTCGACATGGGTTGGGAATCCGCACGAAATATCACTCTTCAAACATTCGCAAAAGACAACAGCGTGAGCGTCCAGGCTACCATGTATAAAATGGCCAACAAGATACTTGAAGCTGTTCCCGAGGTGAATAACGTTGATTACTCCTTGCCGAACAAACATTACTTTGAGATTGGTAAGTTCTTTCTCGAGATATCTAGTCCGTTGTCAGTCGTGGATCGTCGAACTTACTCGATGTAATACCAGATATGAAATGGCACAATGAGGTCAAGAATACCGGTAAGGATGCCGAGGTATATGCACCTCAATCCGATCCCAATGGTTTGATCAAATGCACAGTCTCTAGAACCAAGACCTCAAAGCTCTAGATGTATATAGCAGCTACTAGACTTCATGTTTGATAAACCCGCCTTTCCCCCTACCTGTGTATTACAATTTTTATTCTTTCATTTCAAACCGACCCCCGAACTGTGTATCAAAGCTATGGGGGTATTCCATTTCCTTGTCTCCCCCCATCTTTCTTCATTTAATAATATATACTAGGTGCTTGGCTTGTGTATGATTGTTTTTGAATCTAAATTTATATATACACATCTTTACAAAAATTTATGATACCAGGGCTTCAGGTTTCGACTGTTCCATATTGATAGTGTCCTGTACTGGTGTCTTTGATGGATATCCTGCCGCAGGCCGGGGCTTCACATAGTGTTTACCACCCAATCTAACCAAGTTTTCCTTGTATGGATGACCGAACCCCTCGAAAGCTATCAGACAGACAATTAGTCACGACGAGCAATATCACCGTAGTATCCCGGAACCAAACCTCTTAATCTCCCCAACCGAACTTCTCTTAACCGGTTCTTCGGAAGCATACCGGAGACGGCCCTACGCAGCACCTCCGCACCCCCGAACTTTTTCATCATTCTATCCATCGTGATTTCCTGGAGGTGACCGGGTCTTGTTGAATGCGAGTAATATTTCTTTTTCATCCGCTTGTCACCGGTGGTCTTAAGATAGGCGCACCCAACTGCCACCACATAGTCTCCGCAATCCGCTACATTAAAACCCCCCCCCCCCAAGTGTCAGATCCCGTGTCAACAGTAACAAACCAAGGGAGACCAGAATGCGGGGACTGACTACTTGGATCATAGGTTGGTTTATGCTTTCCCATGAGCGTCGTAGCGATTGACGTCGCAATACGACCGAAGGATCGCTGGTCATGGCCCATATCGACGAGATGCCATGACCGACTGTAGGCCAAGGAAGTCTGTTGGAAGTGAGGAAAGCCATCCCAATCAGTTCACCAATCTCAGGAAATATAAAACGGGGGTTTGTCGTACCCTTCCGATGTTGGTAGACATTGTTGTCTCGGGGGGTGCTCCAGATGTCGTCGGGCTGCTTTAGTGGGGGGGATGAGATGATTATTTCTGGGATTGGGTTCCCCCGAAAAATGAATCCCGAATTTGACTAGCGAGACTTCTTTTGGTTGGATTATTAAGCATCGAGGCTTCCTGTGGCTAGCCCAGTCACCAGCAACCAAACAACCCCCCACCACTCATGATTCCTCACAATGCGAGTACGAAGCCCCCACCCACGACTTCTTTGCCTAGACTTGCTCCGTACGAGCAAGACACTCTACCGGTAGCCCTGAAAAGCTGCTCTATCGTATCATAACTCAAATATATACTTGTGCATTATGATTGATCCCTTCCAGGTTTGAAGCACCTTCTCTGTTAGACTAGCGGCTATAAGTACTGGAGGTTGACTGACTAACCGGCGCTGGCTCTCCACAACCTTCCAGACTCTCTTCGCCGTTCCATTGGAATGTGACTCTTGTGTACAAGATGTTTCGGACTCTTTGAAGAAATTGCCCGGTATGCAAGGAATAACCTTACTCCGCCTCCATTCCTACTAACGCATAAGAAAAGGCATTTTAAGCGTAGATGCAGACCTCCAAAAACAGCTCGTCACCGTCGAGGGGACAGGTGCGGTTTAACTTCCTTTTTATTTCCTTCTGTTTCACAGACACCTAGAGGAAGCAGAAGGAGTTTATTCACATTTACATATTCGTTTCATAAAAAATGGGAAAGGTATGATACTGACAAATAGGAAGCTGCTCCTTCGGTGATTGCTTCCGCGATTCAGGAGACAGGTCGTGATGCGATTCTTCGGGGTAGTGGAAAGCCAAATAGTACTTGTTTCCCCATCCTCCTCTGCTTTATACCGGCTACTACCCCCCCCCCCTCTCTCTCACGGGAAGAAAAACATTTAAAGTGTGGCTTGCTAAACACCTGTGTTGGGTTGTGAAACAGGTGCTGCTGTAGCGATTCTAGAAACCCATGCAAAGGACGTACCAAGCCCTGTCCGTGGTCTGGTGAGGATGGTGCAAGTGTCACCGAAACTTACCATACTAGACCTTACCCTTCAAAGTCTCTCACCCGGCAGATATCATGCTACTATACGCGCTTCTGGGGATATATCAAGGGGAGCCGCTTCTACTGGCCACGTTTGGGGAGGCCGGGAACCTGGAAGGGAAGAGGAGGCCAATATGCCTCCCAGAGGAGAGATCGCGTCAATCGATGTTGGAAAGTCCGGTTCCGCTAGTGTTCTACTGGACAAACCTCTCGAGGCCTGGGAAATCATTGGCCGTAGCTTCGTGGTTTCAAAGGAGCGGGACGGAAGTTTTAGGCAGGATGATCCTGATACCGTTGTTGGTGTTATTGCCAGAAGTGCTGGTGTATGGGAAAACGAGAAGACGGTATGTTGGATAAGTTTTCTTGCATATCTCGCAGATCCCCCACCCCTCCCCGCCTATCCTCCTCACGGGTTGGGGCTTTTGACGCCCGCTGCGTCCGCTTCTTTTCGAAACAAACCTTACCAAAGATACTGGATGCCTCTAACACGCTTTTTGCATTTTAGGTTTGTTCATGCTCAGGCAAAACCATATGGGATGAGAGGAAGGAAAACGTGGGACGTGGGATCGTTTGATGTCGCATGATATAACGTGGCCTAGCTCGATGGTACCTCGGTAAATGGTGAAGCGGTTTTCTTGCATTCGTGCTGGTAACATGAAAAAATGAGACAGGCATTCAAAAACGGTGTATTGAAAGCCCGGACAACCACTTACAGCACAGGCATGTTGATAGGCAGAGGACAAAGTATTATCTCCATGTGAAGCAGCCTCACGGTCCCTATACATTTCCTTTGTATGATAACGAGTTTTTTCTCTCTGTTCCTCGCACTCAGAGTCTCCTGCAATCTCAATGAATCCCATCACCACCATCTCAGGCAATCACTTCATACTTGCCCACTCACCCACAGGGTCCACTCGAACTTACGTGCTAGGACCGGTATCTAATCCGTGATGGACTCTGGGTGAAGAGCGATCGGAGGCAGGTTTCAAGGAGACGGCGGGTCAGGACTTTGGTCTGTCATATATTAATAGTAGAGCCCAAGCCTTCTTAGCATGGCAACGGGTTGGAGATGCTAGTAACGGTATCATCATAAGGCGTTGGCAGTCGTCGGTTTTGCAGTTGCTGGAGGATTAGGAGTGCTATGGGTGGTTTGAGTTAAGGGTATGAGTGGATGGTGTTCATCGAATACAGTAGTAACCAGTCCCCGCAGTGTGCCGTACTTAAATACAAAATACAGGTTACCGGTTTATTAACACAGCCTTACCAACCTGTACAGTACTAGTACTGTATTGCGCTCTGAGCTACATGCAGAGCACAGTACGGCATCTATGGGATTCAAAGCAAAGCCTGCGAAGAACTCCTCCAATACCGATATGCACTTGTATTGCCCCCCACCTCCCCCCCTCACACGCTCGTAACTCAACCAACCAACTATCGAAGTACCCGTAAGTAAAGAGGAGAAAAAGAAAATAACCCACCACCACAATCACCCGACATACTGAGTTTCTTGAATAAAACCCGGGAACCTGCATAACAGCCGCTGACTCCCCGCTCTCTTAATGCACCTTTAAATCCGACCAGCTCCAGGTCGGATACCCACACAATGCATCCATCGCCCAACAATCCCGTTGGCTCGGAAAGTGTTTACGATAGATGCGCGAATGGTCTGGAAGTTGTAACCGCGGGGTGGAATTCACTTTGTTTTTTTTTCTCTATTTCCTTTTCTTTCTTCCACATAAATGAATATCAAACGGTTCATGAGACGGATATGGCTTCAGTAGCCTGGAAGACCTGAAGTTTTCGTCATAGCAGAGACAAAGGGGGGTTGAAGAATCTATCATATTACTCGAGTATATGCCCGAGTATCGGAACGCATAAATTTATGATTAACCTCGCAGGACTCGCATGGGATGGGGATGTTGTGGCTTGATATGCTCTCACAATTACAGGCGAAAGATGCCCTGTTTTATTGGTCGGTGCTCATCTCGGAGGGGAAGATACAATGCAAGTAGATGGGGATACGGTGCCGAGCCACCTTATACATGTACTAGTACCTGTAGGGATATCTGACATGTACGGTAACAGTCCCGGTACTACCGTACTCGTAGATGTAACAAGTGTTTTGGAGTAGGATCGTCTTGGAACGGCTATGGGATGTGGGGGGGCGTGGGGCGGTGCCCAGACAGTTATCACTAGATGACAGTTTCAAGATTTTCCTAGATTGGGTACAGTACCGGTACGGTACTAGTGCAAGCCTGCCAGCGTTTCGGTTTCCGAACGCGAGATTCATGCGCAAGCAACTTGAAGTGGCGGGTCACCCACAACACGGTACGAGTATTGGTAGAAGGGGGAGTTTCCCAGTTGTCCACTTTTGATGTGCGGACCTTCTGGACGGCGTCCAACGTATCCGTCGTTCGCACTTCATCGGCTAGGCTTTCTTGGTATCATCCGTATCGACCATGAGTTTCCCCCAATGTCCAATTTTCCTCTCGTCTGCATATCTTTTTGTTTCTCCCCCACATCGGCTGAGACTTAATCCACGACAAAAAGAATACCATCCGGAGAAATTCTGAAATGATAAAACCACATCAGTTTAGAGGGTGTTTGGCTTGCTGCCATTCGATTTTGAAATCACCATTTGGAACCAACTAATCACAAGGCACAAATCGATTATCTAAGCTGGTTTTATGCGTTGTGATTGGTTGGTCCCGAATGTTGGTTTCAAAATCAAATATCGGCGAGCCAAATACCCCCTTTACGGTAGTTGACAAAGGAGAAAGTGCAGTCCCATACTCTACCCTACCCTACTCGAGTACGAGTACAATACAGCTCTTCTCTTACTATCACGGGATTAATGGATCAATTATGACAGCTACAGGTGTTAGCCAATTCCTGGGCTAGAATGGCTCAGGAAATGGAAAGGGTGTAAACCCTCAAGGTTGGAAAGCGTGTGGGAGGAGGGCCTTGGTCTGTTGGTTCGCTCCATCCTTGTCTCTCTGTTGTCAGTACGATAGGGAGAGCAGGGATGGAGCCCATCGATTCACACATTCTCACACCTTCTCCAGCATGTGCCAAAACAAAACTTCAATACCAGCCAGTTACAGTAGCCAGATACTGCCACAGTGGATCCCCCTGAGTTACAGTAGCGTGGTGGGTCGGAAACTTTTTTTCTCTTTTCCATATCCCAAATTGGATTATTTGCTCCGAAAAAGCACCAACGAGTTGGATACCGTATCATGATGATAATTGGGTGGTGTAAGTGAAATGTTACGGTCCTCAGTGTGATCTTTAAGGGGCAGAACAGCCACTATGATTCCCATTACACTTTAAGGAACCGACACATACTCAAGTACCTGTAGATCCGCACCTAGTCTTTCTGCACTTCTATTAAATCCCCTAAATTATCCTATTCTCCAACCAGTCAACTGACCAACCAAACCATGAATCGGCGGTGATAGAGAGGGGGGGGGGGCAAGTCCTTTATTATCATTCTTATCATCATTAATTTTATGATTTTCACGCTGCTTGCTGAACGCGCACTCTTCTCTTCATTTCTATCAATCCCGCTGGTAACCTAGCGGATGTGCGTTAACGATTTCTCCTTTCCTTCCCATCGACCCTTTTGCGCTGTGAGCAAACGAACTACAACTGGCCGCTTCTTACCGGTACTTCTTTCTGGTTGAATTTTTGTCATTACACGACTTTTGGCTCCTGTTCGCACTCGGCCTAGCTACGGCGGTGCACCCGTACCGTATGCCTTGAAGCTGTGCTCGTTTCATTCCTGTTAGGCGATTGGAACTTGGGTCCGTTATGTACTGTACTCGAGCACTCTTCTTAGGAGAAAGTATTGCGATACGGCTTTCTTGTATTGTCTTGTTATCTTGCCCTCTCTTACTTCTTGAGGGGGTGAACCTGAAAGACTTGTTTACCTTGGGCCAGAATTGTGGTGTGTATTGTACTGTACTCGTATGCTCGAGTACCCGTAGAAAGCAAGGGAGACACTTGTACCTGAAAACAGGGCTTATGAATTTGTATGGACGCTCGGATGTGCACGGATTTTTTGCCATATATTTTGACAATCCTTGTTTCTGGGTACTGCTTGCCTGCTCCGACTATGGGGGTGTTTCTCTGTGCTACATTTTTGTGCTGTCTCTCAACCCGTTTGTCTAATAATATATAACGGCTTGAGGTCTGCCGAAATGGAAAAGTGGAAATAGAGGGAAGAAAAAAAGATTGCGAGTGAGTACAGTACGGTAAGTGAGAGTAAAATAGTAGCTGCCCTCAAGCGCCAGCCATTCTTCATTTCCTCCATTTTTCCCTTCTCAGTCTCCCTATTAATCCAACAATCTCCCTCCTTTCTTTACCTTCTCGCTTTGCTCCTACTCTCTTCACCAGCTGCTTTGCTTTGCCCTACACAACATCTCAACCCAAACCACATCATCACTCCCCGCTCCCCCCCCCCCTAACACCCATCTTCACCATAAACACACGACCATTATACCCCATATTACAGACAGATACAGGCTTCAGCAGAATATCTCATACTGTATACCACCCCCTCGAACGCCACACCCCTCCTCCCTCCTCTCCTTCCCAATCTTCAAACTCCTCGCTCAACCCAGGGATACCCACACACACACCCCACATTGCACCTTCCCACAAAGTTCTCCCACGGCTACCTCCCATATCAAGGCTCTGCCCTGTAAGCGCCCCCTTGCGTGTTGCTCACCAGATCTCTCACCTTCATATTGAGCAACGGCCCCTCCGGCTTACATCTTGTGTCGACCCCCTTCCCTTCTGTTGAATTCTTTGTGTGTTGGTCGTATCAATTCCGCAGTCGTTCTCTTTTTTCCTTCCATATCCTCTCTACCTTCCTTTTCACTCATTTCGTTAATTCGGGCTTACAGAGCATTGGGCCCTTAATCACCTTCATTTTTTGCAGCTACTACTTTTGATCCTTCATCTCCGCACCCCCCTTCCTATTGCTTTTGAACATCTTTGTTTTACCAACACATTTTTCGTTCCTCGGTCGAAAGCGTTTTACCAGATCTCTTCGATCAGCTTTAATTCGTACGCCAGTCCAGTGTTTCATTTTTATTTTATTTGTTACCCCTATTATCTTGCGAGCGAGTGAAGCGGAACCGGGGACGCTTAGAGGAGGAGAAGGCTGGAGAAAAGTGAGGGAATACGGTAGTCCTCTTGATCCCACTCGACGCGCACACTTTCCAAAGAGCCCTGGCGGTGGTGTTTCTCCAATAAGAAATTATCTGGTTCGCACCTTGAGCAGATCCAATTACTTTCCTGCGAATTAACCCAGCTACCAATCGCCAGCTGGCCGGCGACCGTTTTCTTTCGTGTTCACCAGCCCCCTCTCTTGCTCCCGAAGGCCCCCTCATCATCCGAGGACCTTCACAACCAACGAACAAACAACTGCTTGCTGCTGCCTGTAGCTACTAACACGAAATGTCACTCAAACAAGTACGTTCACGGAGTGTGGAGGGTTGGGGCTTTCTTTTTTCGTGAGAAGAGTCCGTTTTTGCTAACTTTTTCGTGGACGAAAATAGGAGATTGAGAGTTGGGTTGAGGCTTTGAACTACTATGACCAGCAGAACTACGAGAAGGCCTTGGAGGTGTTCGAGGCCAATGCTGACACATCTAAAATTTACTTCAATATTGGGATGATCCATGCGACACTTGGTGAACATGATAAGGCTGTAAGTTGTTTGTGGGAAGTCCTGGGGTTTACAGAATGCTTCTTGTAGGAAAAAAAAACATGGTTACTGATCGTGGTTTTGTTTTTGTTTTTGGGTCCCGCTGTAGGTCGAAGCATACCAAAAAGCTACTAAGCTCGATCAGTTCCTTGCCGTTGCATATTTCCAACAGGGCGTATCAAATTTTTTACTAGGAGAGTTTACAGAGGCTATGGCGAACTTCAATGAGGCCCTTTTATATTTGCGGGGCAATACCTACATCGATTACGATCAACTCGGTTTGAAATTTAAACTCTTTTCATGCGAGGTGCTGTTTAATAGGGGTCTTTGTTACATATACGATCAGGATATCGAACAGGGGATGAAGGATTTGGAATATGCTGCAAAGGAGAAACAGGTGGATGACCACAGTGTGATTGACGAGGCTATCAAGGAACAAGCTGAGGTATGAAAACTTCTCGGCTGGTGGTTTTGTCGGAGAACTGACATGAGAATCCGTGATGCAGGGATATACCGTATTTTCCGTCGGTGTTGGTATTTTATATCGACCTAATGAGGCCAAGGTCAAAAATGTGAAGGCCAAGGATTACCTAGGAAAGCCAAGATTGGTTGCAGCATCGGATGCCCAGAATGCATTCACAGGCTTTGCAGGGACGGAGGTTAAGAAGGTGTGTCCGAAAATCGTGAATACCTGTGAAGCTTTAAGCTAAATTTGGTCCGCAGCAGAATATGTCGGAAACCGCTCCAATAGACGATCGAACGGACATCTCATTTGCTGCGACGAAACTTGTCAAATCGGAGCTGATTCCCCGCCGAAGGTCAGATACTGCATCTGAAGAGAAGTCAGCTCAACCTGCATTGCGGGGAGAGCGCCAAGTCTTTCCGCCCACGCCACCTCCCGAGAACGAGTTTTCACCGTCTGCACAAAAGCCGGCCCGTAGTAACACAGTTGGTGGACCATCAGCTGGTAGATCGCTATCTGTGCGTGGGGCGGCACCGACACGCGCCAGAAGCCATGACCGTGACAGAGGCGGTGATAGGATCGACGAGGGTGCCGGAGGACGTTATAGTCCCCCACCAAGGAGACCTACTGTTCGGGGTCAACTAGAACCTCGTCGTGCCTACTCAACACGTGCCCCTTCCTCCTCCTCTTCAGCCTCAGTCGCGTCAAGATCGAGGACTGTTCGCGAAGCGCCCCGACGCCGGGATGACCGTATGGCGGAGTACGCGGATGAAATCGAAGGTAATCCATACAGCAATGAGGTCTATGACCTTTATGTTGATGGTCGTGAAGCCCCACGAAGAGGAGGCCCTACAGGTGGTTCAGTCAGAAACCGGGGCCTTGCGCGCCGCCCAACAACTAGGGATCGTTACGCAGATGAGGACGAATACGCCAGTGAGGCGTACGAAGGGTCCTCTTTTGATGAGGACGAATTTGAAATGCTTGATGCCCGCAGCATCCGTAGTGGATCGTCCCGTCGTCCAGATGTGAAAAAGGTGAGGATCTACCCTGAACCACAAATTAACCAAATGCCCGAGATGGGGAATGACCATTTGTCGAGCCATTCCATGGGTTTCTGGTTTCTGGTTTCAGCTTAGACAAAACCACAAGTCCCTTAGACACCCCTCACTAGGACAGCCAAACTTGAACTGGGAACTTCCCTACGGGAAATTTAGTAAGCCTGGTAAAATATTACAACCGAAGAGATCGGCGGGTGATTTCCTCATAAAAAAATCAACCAATCAACATCTGTCCGAGTGGGGGGTGCCCGAGTGGCTTGTGGTCTCGTCTACTTTATTTTTTAGGTTGCTGACTTTTTACGAATTTGGTTATCCAGATTAAAGTTAAAGCTCATCACGAGGATGACACACGCATGATCTTGATATCGACAGGGACAGACTTTGATGAATTCGTCACTCGCTTAAAGGACAAATTCGGATTCCGACGCAAAGTTAGGTGTAAAATCCGGGACGAGGATGGTGATGGTATGATTAGTCTCTCGGATCAAGAGGATCTAGATATGGCCATATCATCAAGCAAAAAGGCCGCGCGGCGTGACCGTACCGACGTCGGAAAGCTCGAGGTAAGAAGAGAAAAGGATCACTCATCCGATAGATTCCCGACATTGAACGGCGCTTCTTTTGTCCGCCTGTTCAATTTTCGTTCCTGTCTTTTTTTTCTTTCGCTTATTTGCTTTTTTATGGGGGTGTTTCCTCCGCCTCGCTGCCCCTCAGGAGGGACGTCATTTCGCCGCATCCGAAGGTTCGAGTTCCGTGTGCTGACAAAAGTGTTGCTGTCACAGATTTGGGTCACAGAAACATGATCGGATCAAATTCTCAACCTCTGCACCATCGGAACCATTTTCTTCCGCTTTTTTTCTTTTTTTGACCGACCTCGGCTGACTTTGCTTCGCTACTCTCATTTATCACTAATCCATTCCGGGCAATCTTAAATATTATATACCTTCAGCCCTACAAACTTTTTTTATTTCCTATTCTGCTTGTCGTTTATTGGGATTTATATTGCATGACTATCCTACTACGGGAGTCATTTGAACTGCATATGCAAAACCGGATCCTCTCGATATCCAATTTCCATCGATGACCGCATATTCTGGAAGAATGATAATCTGGGGTGTTCCTTTTTGTTGCCTCAATTGAGTGTTTGTTTTTTGTTTTTTTTCGTTCTTTATTCCAATTGTTTGTCCTCCACCCATAATTTGTGTTTTTTTCCTTTTCTGTATTGTATGTCGCCGCAGCCAGCGAGGCACCATTTTTCATTTTCTTTCTCACTTGTCATACTTTTTACCTTTTTCTAGTAGTCTCCTCAGACAGTTGAAACGCCCTGATGAAGAACGGCACGCCTACCCCATAAGTTACAGTAGTTTAGATTGAAGCATATTTATTATTTTATTTTCCGTCCCATCTTATCCCTAAAATCCGCAGTTCACTTGATCTATTTCAACCGGGCGGTTACCGGTATTACCTTTGCTAATCCAACCAAAACTCCCAAACCTCGTGCCAGATGCCACTCTCGCAAGATATCGTGGGGTGAGTGATGTGGGGTAATTAATGTAAGTTAAGCTCACGGGAGCACAATGATGTGATATACTGTGCCATAGCCCAACCTCACCCTCACCCCATTCCACCACCGTTCCATAACTGCGTAGTATTATAAGCTAGCCAGCCAGCCAGCTCGGCTTTTCACGACACGATAGGCTACGACAAACTCCGCAGGACATGGCTATATAGGAGCTGCTTGTACCTACGCCATTACGTTACCGGTGCTGCACCATACCCACCGACCAATTCGCCCTCTCCGATCAACAGGGGGCGCGCAGACGAACCCCCCGCGGAACGCACTTGTATCTATCGCACACACCCCACGGTACGGTACTTTTTATTTATTTATTTATTTATTTATTTATTTATTTATTTATTTATTTATTTATTAATTATTTTTTTACTCGAGTACCGGTATGGTACGGTGCCGGACAATGCCAACCACCACCAAACGAGCTCGAAAAACGACCATCCTCGCATCAATGACTACCACACCAACCATCAAGATATTGATTAATGCTTCTGTAAATGCATAGATAAGTAGCTTAAGAAGAGAATTACAGAAGGAATAAATAAAAAACACAAGAATAAAGGGTGGGTGTCACGGATGTGACTTAGTAAGGAAAGGGTTTTCACGTGACACATGGTTATGAGTCACAGGTATGTTATTGTTTTACGCATATAACCTATTCGGGTTGTATGATTAGTTATGTGTGGGATTTGTGATACTTTCGCACATGGCTCGAGTATGAGTCATGGGACATGCGCCTGACGAGTATGCCTTACGAGTATGCCTTACGGGCAAGCTTTGCGCATATGATTTATGTTTCGCACATGACCTTATTATGATGTCATGGGTTTCGTGCATATGACTCAGTCGAGTCATATGACTTGTTTATTGCGTTATTATTGGTTTATGAGTTTTGCACATGACCTTACTATAAGGTCATGGGTTTTGAGCATGTGATTACTTTGGTCACATGACTAGTTTGTTTTGATTTGGTTTTGCACATGTGACCACTTTAGGTCATATGATTAAAGGCGGGAAGAACACTATATAAGGAGGCCTGTATGCGGCCGAGGAAGATAGGTTCTTCACGCTTTGTTCTAAGTACTTTTCCTACTTCTTGCACTTCGTGTCGGAAGTGAGCATAACCAATACTTTACCTTATTACGCTCGCGATAAATACTTCATCTACTGTTACTTGTTTGTGTTTTTCATTTCGGGCGGTTAGTTAGGAGTTGCTGTTCTCGCTTAGAAGATACTTCAGTGTGAGATATCCGTGGCCTGGTCCCGGTAATCACTGAGTATAGTTTGGGCAAGGATGGCGTCTTCGACAGCCTCCTCATCCACGGATTCTCCCCCCCCTTCGAGGATGTCGTCCCCCGTCCGGTTCGACTCCAACTCCTCCTCCTTGCTTGAGACAGCCCGTGCGGTCCTGTCTCTTGCGCCTCCTACTGAGGCCGACCGTGGCCTCGTCCCTACAACTACACGGTCTTATGTTGCACCCAGGAGAAACTTTAAGTTTTTACAGTTCCACCACTGCCACGGATGTCAGAACGCGGTTAACCTGCAGTTTGATGACTTGGTTCGGCAAATGGTCGCTGACGCGACCGTTGCCACGATGAAAGAAGTGGAGGTTTTGGTAAGAGGTTTCCTGATCGGGAGAGGCTGTTCAGCCACGTGTGGCTTGAACAAGGACACTACCACGGGACTCTTCGTTCGGTTCGATTCGGACCATGGCTCAGAATACTCTCCAGCCCCCACACCTTCCCCTCCAAAAGATTCTCAGGCTGTAGTCCCTGAATCTTCCATCCCCCCCGCCAAGGACGACTCGACTGCTGCCACGGTTGAGGCCAGCTCTTGGTCTGCTACTCCTCCCCTCGCTAGGGCTGTCCAAAGCAAGATGCCCAGCTTCTTCCGCTAGGCCCATAATACCAGGACCGGCTCGTCGACTCCCTCCTTTCTGGCAGGAATGTCTTCAGGCGAAAGGGCTCTTTACGAAACCCCGAAGTTCAAGATGGACGACCCTGATGATGAGGATTACAACCCTCCTGCCTCTGGAACGCGCCGCTGGACACGGTCGGCATCTCCCATTAAGCGATCTGCTGCTCCTCTCCTTGGTCACCAATTTTTAAGGGCTATCAACGTTGATGAGGGACGGAAAAAACAGATTGTCCCCGCTCTTCCTGGTCTACCCCTAGGTGTTCACCATGGGCATCTGGCCATCCCCCTACCTGTGATGCTCCCATCAACGATTGAAGCCACACCCCCTTCTCCATCCCCTCTAATGACTGAGGATATCCTACCCACCTCTGAGGTGCTGGCCAGGGACACCCCTATGGAACTGGATGAGGGACGCAACTTGGAAGCGACCGGTTTGGGCGACAGCGTACACGCCCCTTCACCAGCCATGGGGTCGTCACCTCCGCCTATTACTGGACGATGGGTGTCACCTCCCGGAAGCCAACTGGAGGGCCCCTTGAAAACCCCCAGTGGTGATTCAACCCCATTGGAAGTTCAGCTCCCAGAAACCCAACTTGAGGATGCCGACACTGTAGTGGCCCAGGCGGACTCAATCATGGCAGGTGTCTGTGAGATGCTGGATGCTGGTAAGACCCCCTCTCCTGGACCCCGCTCAGGAAGTATAATCGGGTCCATGTTGGAAGGCCTGGAGGATATCCGGTCTGGTAATACTCAACCCCTCCTCTCCTCGGAGTCTGGGTCAATTGAGGACCACACAGTACAGGATATACGGGCTTGGATGAACAGTGGTCCCACCTTTGACGACGATGGTCCAAGGAACGGAATAAACTACTGGAGTCGAGTTTATGTTTTGGAACGGGCAGTAAAAGCACTGACCGACATTGTTGGCAGGCAAGGAGAGGAAATTGAAGCCCTTCAGGTAAAGTCGTCCCGCCGCCGCCGCATACCCCCTGCTGTACCTCGCAGCACCTCCGTTGTTTCTTCGGAGCCAACTACACCATCCCCTACCCCTGAGAGAAAGGAAGCCTCTACGGAGGCTCATGCTGCTAAAGCCTCTTTCACAGAGGTAGTAAAACGAATGGCGTACGTGCCCAAACCCCCCGCTGGCCCGCAGGAATGGGTTCGTCCTGCCAGGCCCACATCAACGGCCTCATCCCACCAGTCCAACAGCAGCAGCAGCTCCTCCAGTGAAGGAGGGGTAGTCTTGCGAGTAGCCCGGGGGGGTGAAGGCAAGACTGTTCACTGGGAAGAAGAAGAGGAAGAGGAAGAAGATAAGAAGAAAGGATGAAGGAAGCGGGGCAGACGCCTGAGTGGTGCTGCTAGAAGGAGAAGAAAGGCTGCCAGAGAATCTGGTGATGAAAGGGAGATGGCGACCCTGGCCAAGACCCAGGGGAAGGCTGATAAACAGGAGTCAGGCCCCAAAGTTATGACACCTGTTGCCACAACGGCTCAATCTGGGCCGGCAGCACTGGCAGGTGTCAAGATAGGTACGGCTCAGGCACGACCGGAATACCGAAGGGTACCAATGGGACCCCCGGACCCACTGAGCTCGGTACCGCCACCACCGCGCTCGTCGCCAACCCCGAATGCTAGGGGAAGGCACATCACCATGTGCTTCACTACCCGAAAGAAGGTCGACCTGCCAGAGGGCGTCGACATTGAGACAATCCGAAATCGGATCAATGTGACTTTTTCCAATCAGGGAAAGATTCGCCGGGAATGCTCCTTATATTCGCGCAGGACATGTCCGGCCGGAAATTGGATGCATCTTCCTGACCTTGGTGGCACACTCCGTGACAGAGCTAGGCAACAGGTTGGACAAGGCCAGGCTCGATCTGCTTAGGGAATTGTCACTCCCGGAGTTTGAATTCCAGAGGAATCTGGAAAAGGTGAAGATCTTCTTTTCTGGTGTTCCGCTTGCTGACACAGGACGAGGGTCGATTTGGAGGGTGGAAGGGTGGACTGGAAGCGCGGCCTTCGATGGCCTCCGCACTGACTTAGAGCAATCCAATACTGGTGTAGTTACTGTGTCCCGGCCCGATATTATGGGGTCCATACACGCCATGAGGCAGGCCAATGCCACAAGTTGCGGCATCCACTTTGTGGTGGAGAATAATGAGGCCATCAAGGAAAGACTGGCAGAAGGGAAGATTTGGTTGCGGGGAGGAGCCCGCAATGTCAGAGTTTTTGAAGAGCATCGCCCCCTTAAGGTATGTGGTAGGTGCCTGGAAACTGGACACTTTGAAGCGACATGTGGCCGCCCCCCTCGATGCCGGTTCTGCTTCGGAGAACACTTCTCTCGAGAACATATGTGCAGTAAGCTGGCCTGTCCCGGAGGGGTGGGTCAGGCCTGTGGACATACCAGGAGACAGTGTTGGCTGTGCGACCGGATGGACCACTTCACAGGATATGAGCGATGCCCAGGTATCAAATCGTCATCCCCGACTCCCCCCTCTTCGCCTGTTGGACAAGGGACAACTACACTGGCAAAGCCAGCCAGGGAAGCTGTCAAAAAACCAGAACAGCAGGGCAGGAGGACAGAAAGAAACAGAGAAAGAAAAAGCCGCAGCCGTGGAAGGTCCCTGACACCCAGGCTGGTCGAAATCAGCAGTGATGAGGAGGAAGAAACGCCCCGCCGTAAGTCAAAAAAGGCTAAAGGTAAGGAACCGGAACGGCCTTCCCCCTCCCCAGTACGTGGGATTCTAAAAACTAGGGCTGGTACCGTGACCAAACCGCGCGATGAGGAAACGAGTTGGGTTGCCCGAGATCCGGATACCAGCTCCGCCTATGCCTCTGGCCCTTGTGGCCCGAGTGGATCAGTTGAGGCTCCCTTTTAATGCATATTACGACATTGGCATTAAAC